GGGTGTCATATATATACTAAAATAGTGCGTCACAAGCAGATAATCAACAAGCATAAGTTCCAGTAAGTTTCCAGAGATCCTAGGACATATTCTAAAAAAGAGCATTTCCTTCCTTTGTTCCTTCACTGTCGCCAGATGCGTCCTGTTATTTCACTTCACTTATCGGTGGAATTAAACTGTCACGTATGCAGGTACAACTTGCAGTTGCGAGCAAACCAGTATCTATCTAAATACTATATGTGTGTGTGCAGGCACCCTGTGTGTGTCCTGACCTCAGTGCATGACCTTACTTGACAAAGACACTACAGAAGCATACTTCCTGACTCAGTTTGAGTCATGTGTTGCCAGGCAGACTTCAATGCAACATGAGGGCACACAGGCCTTTATTATACCCTTGCATAATATGTGGTGAATTGTAAGCATGTAGGCAATCCTTCATTAGCCCAGTAGGTATTCCAATTGATCGATCAAACTCACGCTGACCGAAGCTTCCGACCATTATCAACTGAGCTTCAACTCTGTAATTAGCACAAAAATGCACTATGTGTATAACATGATTACAGCTGCACCTGCAATGAAAGATTATTATGTAATTCAGCTCATACCTGAAATACAGACTTTAATGTAACATCAACAGTTTCCATAAATGCTCCAATCAAATGATGATAACTCATAAGTGATAATAAATCATAAATGATGCAACAGTAATAATAATGATTATGAATAGTAACAGTAAAATAATTTTCTCATCCCGACAACATGAAGAAGAATCTTCTTCTACCTTAATGTGGATTAATTTTCAAGACAAAAACCTGTTGCAATAAATTTTGATTACTCTCTATTCTTCTGCTACTTCCTTACCTGGTATAACTGGTATATGACAGCTAGGCCCCCCAAAAGAATTGGGATCCCTCCATATGGCACAAAGCTCAGTCCCATTTTCACTTCAAAGATTCTGAGACACAAACAGGTTTACACAGACATTAATGTGTAAAATGCTATCAAGAAGATGAATGATGACTACAAACAGCACGAGCATAAGAGCTCACCACCTCAATCAATGCCTGTGTGAGTGTGGAATACAAATGGATGACAGAAGTCTAAAAAATGCTCATTCATCTAGAGTTTACAAAGTTCAGGAAGAAACTGAGAGAAAACCAGAAACCGGAAAATCTAAAATAATTTAGTCTTTTGTTTAGTTGCTTTGTATTTTATTTATTTTGATAACTGTAATTAAAATCAAAGAAAATAGTTCTCATGCGCAGTCAGTGTGGGGGAGCTGACGTTTCGGTATCAATCCGCAGACTGGTATAAAACCGCAGGAGCGCCAGAAACAGACTGTTGCTGTTCCGTCTGTGTTCTGTGTGTATAACTGAAGGTTGCACTAGTTTGGTCTTGAATTTTGAGTGCGTAGTCTTTTTTTTCATAAAACCCGAAGCTCGTCTACCGGATCAAAGCAGGAGACATTGCCCCTAAAACTATCGGACTGATTCGGAGAGTGCCTCTGTTCCACTAAATTAAGACTAAAAGGTCAACCTTCCGTGTACGCACAGAACATGGATGACATCATCCGCACAGTCTTTACGGCTGTGCTATGGACCCTTTCCTCATCCCATGAATGTAAGTAGAAACCACATGAGTTAGAAGGCTTTTGTTTTCTCTGTGTAAAAGTTTCTGTAAACGGTGTTGTGCCAAAAAGTGATTGTCTGCCAAAAACTGATTTCCGGTATTTGCCAAAAACTGATTGCTCGTATTTAAATTGCTATAAGTAACTTGTTGGGCTATAATATGTGAAACATATGTCTAATGCATCCCTCATGGATGACATAAAGTCATATTGAGCTACAAACAACATTCGTGTAACAAGGTAGAAGCCGCAATCAGTCTTTGGCAGTGACTTTTATATAACCTTTATTTATGCAGTTAAAAAAAAAGTCTAATTAACATTAAAAATGTCTTTTGCAAGAAGTAGTTGGACAGCAGAAATGGCTCAAATATTACAATAGTTCTGTAAAAATATTTAAAGTGGGGATAAAGGACCGGATTGGTTATAATGTAAGTACAA